TGCATTCTGTTTTATGCATTAATGAATGTACACAGAAGAGGTGAAACTAACAGGCAAATAGAAGAAAGGGCTTCATCTCGCTGATGGACTTGTAATGCATCACTCTAATCAGCGGAGAAGGACTGAATCCTTCAAATGTACGTCTTTTATTCATTTCTTCAGAATTACTAATATTTAGATGCAATGGCACTGTTTTATGCTAAATCAGAGGCTTCAGGCAAAAATCGTAATCCTTCGTCAACTGATACCTGTTAAAGTGTTTTACACCGTTTGGAGCTCAAAACAGTCTTAATCTTAATTAATATTTTACTCTTTCAGAACAGATTATTTGCAATAAATAACAGTTGGCTTCGCGCATCTATCATATAGAGTTTGTAGACAGTTAGACCGACGTAGTCTTCCTAAGAAGGTACACTTTAATTTCGCCAGTCATCCAATATGATCAATTTTTTTACTGTAAAATCGTGCTTTGTCCAAACAGAAACTTTGCAAAAGTTTAAGCAAGGTTGACATGTTTTAAAAATATTATGTTAAGTTATTGCTTAATAGCAAAGTTGCCTTCAAAAGCTAATATTTTGAGCAATGAATGCATACATTTCTCAACAAATCTTCCACACTCTTCTGCAAGTTAGCGGCAGCAATCTCTTAAAGTGCGCGACGCCAGTTGAATAAAACTTTAAATAAATCAACAATATTCCAACAGAGCTCATATATAAATTAACGCAAATGTTAACGAACTAATCAGAATAAGTGATTACAAATAGGAGAGGTGAGAAAATCAGCGAAACCCTTGTTTAGCTTTATGATAAATTGCTTTGGTCATATGCTTTATGAATCATAATATTTCTGGTGCTTTCAAAATCCTTCGCTACTAACCTAGACGAATTATGACATTTTAGAAACCCAAACATAAATCGTGGAAAGGTGAATAGGAAGTTATGACCCGATGGGTTTTCCTGAACCTAAGATGGACATTTTCGGGCTATTTGTCATGTGGGACATAAAATCGGTTTATTTATTAGTCGTAATATTCCGATCCATGAAATATTGGCACTTCAGCTACAGGAACAAATTCTAAATCGCTATCGTTAATAGCTATAGTAATAGAATCACATTCGGTTGCGCCTATAAATTTTGATTGGTTACAGATTTAAAAAACCGTAAAGGCGATATTCAGTTCTTGCATCAACTATGTATTCATAATCTCTTTCATCAACTTTCGATACTCACCAGACTTTCCGTTGATATCTTTAGCTTTAAGATTGCGCGCTTTGAGCAAGGTAAGTGTGAGGGTGCTGTTGCTGGGGTGATAGCAAAGTGATGTAAGAAGTTCACCACATTTGTCTTTAGCTGGCGGTTTTAAAGCTTTCCAAAATGATGGCTTTTCGCTAAGGTCAACCTGAAAATTAAACATTCGCATTATACTTCACATATGGTCTTCAAAATAAGGACGTTTAGATGTGACCCTAACAATATATTTGTTACCTCATTATCACTTCAATGAAAACACAGCTATTAAGAGCCGAAACTGAAAATATTTGAATGCCAATTGCAATACGCAATCATAAATATGAAATTCCTTCTAGTTTGAATAGAATAAAACTAAATCCGAACAAAAGCTTTTTGATCAAGTCAATATAGATTCAGGTAGGCAAGTTACTCCATTAGGTAGCAACTCCATAGAGCTAAATGAGAAAAAAGCGAATTGTTTAACACTGGAAAGCTTTAATCCTCTGTTCAGCAGCATATAAAATGCATGCATAAACCTCTAAATAAATTAATGCCTACTATTCTATTACACGTGCTTAAATTTCATCATAATGCAGTATTATTGAGCAACAGTGGTATTTTTATGAGCTGATTGCATAAATTTTGCAGCAAAATGCACAGTCCAATTTTCAAGCTGCACATTGTGGAACAAAGTTGAAAATGTGAACGTTTTGATTCCGAGAAGATTGAAAAATTTAATTGAAATTATACTATATTAAAATAACGAATTGTTAAAAATTTATTGCAATTGGTACGATTATTATTAGATTAAAAAGAAAACAAGATGCTTTTATTAACAGCTTTTCCAGAATATCGAGGGGGTCTTTACTAAATCTCTCTAGGAAGTTGGTGGTTTCATTGCCAAAAAATAGAGCGCATATTCATCTTCAAGATGATTAAAACGATTTTACTCTCTGACGCTTTGTCTATGAAAAGATGTTTAATTTGTGAGAACAATGTAAAAATACAAGATTTAGGAATTCTTGTTGCGCAAGTTATTGAGCTAAACTTTGAGTCAAATTTTGAGAAAACATGAAACTCCAAAACGATTTATTTTGAAATGCCGCATTTTAAAATATTTATATTACTTTATCCCGATAAAAATTAGAATGGCAATAAATAATATTCTCAATATTAATAGGCGCAGAATATACGAGAATACGAAATTTACATTGAAAAATGTTCATACAAATACTAAATATTCTTGGTATTATCTGACATTTTGTCCACCTTTGTGTCTTTGAACCAACGTGTTTTCAAACATAAATTCATAGAATCATCTTTCATGCTTTCAGTCTAAGAATCCTACAATACATTTTTGTGAAGTTCTGATGAATTGTTCTGTATATTTACATAGTTAATATCTGCAGTTCTGATCGAGTTTCTAAGTTATAATTATCTAAGATGGGATTTATAAACATTACAACATGTAGTTCTAGTTATAACGTTATTACATTCTGATGAATTCAACAGACCATCTTATATATCAAAAATATTGATTATCATGGGGTTAAACACTTGTGAAGTTAATCCAATATTGTCACTTTGCTAGATATTAAAATAATATTACCTGGCACAGTGGTAAAAAGACTTCCCCAATTGAATCATCTCGTGAAAACCGATCGTAATCAAAGACGTGTAGATGCAAAACCCTAGACTGCAACTTTTGGATGGGAAATCCTTCGAAATAGAAGGTCTCGTTCCACCTGGGATTGAGGGTTCGTCTCTTAATTTTCGTTTCTAATCGGTGCTTTTTATCGGGGAGTAATGTCACTCTTACATAGGGATCACTTGTGCCTGATAGATCTTTGGCCGGCAGGTCTTTACCCTGCAATAAAAAGTAAACAATTATCAGTGAATATTGGACACATTATACATATTTTTTTAAATAAAACTATGCGTTCGTAAACCGAACTTAACATATAATTAATTAATTGGCGATAATTATTCTAGATCAAACTAATATCACTTTGAAGTACTAAGTAACTATTCACATTTAACAAAAACATGAGGCCGATTATTAATTCAAGAAATTCATAAACAGGACTGTTTTTGCGGCAAAAATGGGTCAATAAGATCTCAGAAAATCTTGAATTTTTTAGTACGCCTTTGATATGTGACTAAATGATCCAGTTTGCAGGTGCTTATTTACTCAAATTGATCGTGTTATCAGTAAACAATTTCACTAGTGTTCAACTATCATTTACAAAACAAGTTTTATACATTAAGTAGAGGAGTTTAACTCTTTACAAATATTCGGTGGTAACAGAAGTCCAATAATTTTATGAGCAGTATCAATCACTAGTCGGTCACTAATTTTACGGAAAATAGTTGTGCCGAAGTTCTTCAATAGTTTTCCTGGCACACGCAAGATTTGTGAGATTGCAAATTTGAAGCAACACGTTTTTTGCATATAAAACTGCAAATCTTTAAGTGGAGACTGTTTACAAACTTCTTTATAAAAAATGTTGTTTTATCGCATTGCTAACATATTCATAGACAATTTTTATAAACTTCTATAATAGCTGGTTTTCGAATAGTTCTATTTTACTTTACTGGTCCTTTAATACTTTTTAGTTTCCTTTTTTTACTATACTTGTCCCATTGAAAAAGAGCGCGACTGTTTCTAAATTTAGTACCAGTTTAGTCCTGTAAGAGATAAGAAATAATAGGCTCGAAACCTGCGCCGAGATTGAATGCTTATGTCTTAACCAGGAACATTCACTTGTACTTCATATGACTAAAAAACTATTTGCAAACCACAAACTATTTTAAACGGACTTTGTATAAATATCTAAAACCGATAAACACATTTTCGGTATTTCGTCATTAACAAAAATCAATATAAAAGTAGGTTAAAAAATTTACAATGCTAATTCAAGTAGGTATTCAAAATTTGCTTATAAAAGTATTATTGTATGCAGTAAGTATTGTGCGCCGTTGAGGTTTTCAACGCAGATTCCTTTTGCGTAATAGGGATTTCGGATAAAAATTTACAAAAACTGACAAATCTACAATTCTTCTTATGGATAGTTTATTTTGTTGTTTTCGGATTATCCATCTTCCCGGATGCATCCAGGAAAGAAGGCGAACGTTTTTACTCCGCATTCTTTTGGATATTTTACGACGTTAACCCTTGCGGATGTCGCCGAATTGCTAAAATATTGTAAACGAGTTACCAACATATTTTTTGGCGAACCTCTCTCTCTATGCCGATTTTCTCTAAGTTTATTTCACCGAAAATACAGCTGATTAAACTGATCTATATTTCAATTACATTGAAGATATCAATGTTGGTGTTTTCCGTTTTTTTTTCGTCCAGTTTTTATCAATTTTTTGTTTAAAAAAATGTTTGCCGGCCGGTAAAGTAAGTGTTTCTCAAATAAATTATGTTAAAATTAAGTTTTTCTGCCCCTTTATTAAATTATGATTAATAATCCAATGAAGCCAACTTGCTGTTGATTTTTTGTTGTGAAATTTAAGGACCTTGCAACCTGAGTTTTAAAGTATGCAATCAAATTTAAAATATGTGAAAGTAAATGAAGAAGATAGAAGATAAAACTGTTCATTTTAAATTGATGGAATAGATATCCATTTAATCTTTAAACTTATTAACTTAAGTCTCTCTATATTTAAACCATCAGATATGGTCTAAAACTGTAATGATGCTCAAAAAAAATCACACGCGCGTGTTTAATAATATTCATGGAAAGAAACGTGTGATAATTTTTGTTTGAAATGAAATTTGATATACTACTGGCTCTGAATAATTGCAGCCAAATTATATCAAGCCCGTTTAAAAATGTTTTCGAACCATTTCACAAATGGGAATACGCAACTAAACGTTTGTCTTTGTTCTTGCTGCTTAAGCTAGTAGAATAAATGTATTCAATCAAAAGAAAACAAAGCATAGCTGATAAGAAAAATGTTACCGGAAATATAGAAAATTACGATCACGCAATGTAGCTGGTTAATGAAACACTCAGAGAACTTTTGAAATACTAGCATCTGGTTACTTGTTTAGTGTTTCCGGAATTTTTTAAATTATGTTAGAATGAATATGTTCCATCAAATGCATATATAATATAACAGCAAAGTTCACGTTCTTCTTTGTTTTATTTTGTGACGCTTTCATTAGCTTATACGGAGTGGTACATTTCCCACAGAAGAAAGTATTAACGGAGAATGGAACAATAACAAAAATTTGATTATAAATTAAACCAACTATGTTCGAAAAAATGCGCCTTTCAGTAAATACGAGGTGTTTCAGTTGACTGAAAAAAGCCAAACTTAATAAATGCTTTTATGTAAATGAAAGTGATAATTCTTGGGGAAAAATTTGGCCCTAACTTTAATTTTTGTTTGCTAATGCTGGCAACAAATCACTATACATTTTTTTTAGATTGACTGGCGTTGCACACGCGCATATTCATTCATCTCTCATTACGCTATTTATTACTTGTAATATCAATATATTGATATTATGTCGCGCTTTTTTTTAAACGGTGTTAGCTGTATATGGTAATTGTGAGTACAATCCTCAGCGTGGCTTCGTTACTGAGCTTTTCAGTTGCACGAATTTTCACTTTTTTCGACTTTTTCGGGAGAATCACTGTGTAAGAATTACCTACTCTCAAAGTATATAGGGTGATTCAAAATTGGCGCCATTCCTCTGGAGGTGTTGTCTGGCGCTGTTATAGGAGTACAGAAAAAATAGTAAAAGAAATTCATTGTTATTAAAAACTGAGAAACTTCCAAAAAACTATATCAGAAATACGGCAGCAATGTTTTTCAAGAATTTCAGAATACATATAAGAAAAATACGGTTTGTCTTTGAATTTATTGCCACTTTGTCTTTGCCCTTTCTACTAAAAGGCGTTCATAACGCCGGGTCTCAGTTTTAAATAAATCATATATAATTGTGTCCTATGTTTGACAAAATATGTCTATACTGAAGATATTATGGAGCTGTGAATGGAATAAGACATCAGACAAATGACTGCTTTGGCGTTGTTGGCACAGATGTGCTATTTTCATGCAATTTTGCATTATCCCAGTGAAACAGCGTTGAATTTCGTTTTTTAGGACTTTAATCGACGTGGATTTGCTCATTTAAACATGTAATTTTACAAAACTCCAAACAAAAAAGCTAAAAAAATTAGTTAAATTTCATCATCTGGGCGTCCAATGACGATTTCCACATCCAGAACTAACACGACCCAAAAATGACTCGTACAGTAACTCTACAGTTCCCCTGGTCAAAAATTTACGCGCTGTTGAGACACATTGATGGCGCAAAAAAGTCAGCTATCATTTCACAATAACCAACACCATTCACGGTTAATGCTTGACCGATTTCATTTTCGAAGAAAAATCGCCTGGCGATGCCTTCAGTTTACGGCTGACAGCAAAATTACCTCTTTTGGATGCGTTTGCTTCTCAAAATTCACTAGTGGATTTTTGAATCCCTAAATGCGTGAATTTTGTCGAATGACAAAGCCATAAATACTAAAATGCGCTTTGCCTCTGAAGATCAGTTTGCTCAAATTTGTGTATTAAGGTTCCCACAGCAGCTTCATGTGGAACATTCAGATGGCCGCGTCTACGCATTTTGCAAACTGTTTGCAGTCACAGACTTTAATCACGGATGACAATAATTTACAAAGAGAATTCGTTGTTGCATTGCATGACTACATTTGACTCATTCATTTTTAAGAGTTTAAATTATTATAGGAAAGTACTGATTTACAGCTTCCTCTTGTCTACGTGCGAAATACTATAAGAATTAGGCCTCGTCCACATCTTTTGTTATTCTCAATTAAATTTAACCAGAAGAGACGACTATTTCGTGTATGATGACAAAAAATTGTTATTGCTGTTTGTAACAATGACCAAAACAAAACATTACATGACGGAATAAATCCACCTATCAGTTAAGGTGGTTTTTTTTCGATCAGCATAGGTATTCGTTTTCAAATAATAACTATTCAAATAATCTTCCAAAAATATTATAAGTATTAGCAAAATGTGCGACTTATAAGCCTGGTTTTATGGCCCAGAAAGTTTTTACTTCTGTCTCAAAACCGCAGGTTTAGTTTGAATCATTCGGACATGAGGTCCCAATTGAAGAATTACAAAGTGAGAGAACTGCCCCTAAACATTGAAGAAATACTTTACATTTCAGATATAAAGAGAATAACACAACTATGTTTTAGCTCTACTTTTTCGAATAATTTAAAAGTTTATGTATTATTTGACATTCCACCCTCAAAATTGCTTTTATAAAATATTGATGTTTAATAACACAGATAAATTACCGAATCCCTAATACAGCAGGCGTGTTACAAAGATTTAATATACAATTTTAAAATATTAACGGAGATTAATGACGTTTAAAATTTATTATACTTGAGACCACATAGCTTATACGAAACCTTTTTCGGGATAACGACTTACAGATTTCCATATGGTACATGATTTATTTCCCCAAACTTGTATAATATTAAATCAGTCCTATTTTACATATTTGCAGACCAGTAAATTTCCATATTTTATTTTTAATGATGGAAATCGGTACTTAAGTTCAGCACTTTACATTCTAGACAGAAAGAAGCAAAATGTTATAAAAATGTGCAACAAATAGGATTGTGAGTTAACCTGATTAACGCCAATATACATTTAAAATATGTTCATCGAATCCAGTGGAGAGTTATGAAGATAATATAATAATGTTGATAATAGCGCAGTTCCTTTCCTGAATAATCCCCCATGGTCAACTGAAATGTTATTTGATTAATCTCTCGACTTCCAATCTCCTTCAAGGCTAATCCAATCCAAATAGACGTGGTTCAATCGGATTACCAAAGACCAGACCTTGTAAAACTGTAGCCAAAGTCAATTTTTTCGTTCGGATTTCATTGGTAATGCCCATATTTGTGTCAATTTTTGTCTTAATAGCTACCATAAAAACCGAATATACATTGGTCGGGTTAGGTATCGACTATAAAGAAACTTTTTCAAAATATGAATCGGACTTTGTAACAATTGCATTTGACGAAATCGAGTTTTTCAAGTCAGTAACTTCTGCACATTTTAACTTTTTGTCGATATTAGTTAATCAAGCACATATTAAACGCCTCAATAAACTGCATAGAATATATAACCACCCGGTCTGTAGGGTCCTAGATCTTGCATGGATGGAATGTTTTTATTTCTACACTGCTACTTTCTTTATGATGATTCAGATGAACTTCAGAAATGGGTAAAACATATTACAAGAATGTCGAATTTGGTGTGAAAAATTTTCTCAAATCACATCGTCTTGGAGGCAAGCGTTTAAACAAGATTTTTCAGGTTTTCATTCATACGTTTTGAACTACTGATATAAAATTCGTAATAGCAGCATCGGTATTAATATTACATATAGAAGCCCCAAGACTCTCTCTAGATCTTATCTAGTATCTGAAATATTTCATAAATTTCGTGCCAATGCAACTCCGCTCACCAAAATGCGAGTTTTTGTGGCTTACTTTAACAATAGCTGAATGTCGTTAAATCAAGCTATAAAAACTCGCACTGATTTGAGTAAACTAACGTTTGTACAGAAGACGGTCAGAATTCTATTTCAATATCGTTTTCAACATTATGGAAAAATGAGATATCTTTCAAATATAAATTCAATCGCATATACTTAAGCAGAGAACATTTAGCGAAATATTTTACCATCTAAACAAAAAAGTACAGCAAATGCTTAAAGTGAACTCCTCCASCTTCAATAGACTTTCGGGATCGACGAGCTACTGTTAGTAACCATAGCTGTWAATTGAATGGTATTCTATGTTATTTCCACACAAAYGATCGTAAACTTATGAACCAATTCCTGACCGGTCGTTACTACTATTTCACAGACGATTAATGTTAGTTGCACCAACTAAATTAATTCAAGGAATTTAGATCAGGTGAGCGCGGTGTCCAAGTCCACGTCCAAGTCCTKCGCCAGGGAGAAACATATATATATGAGTCGCCGTYCAAACCATCGACGTGGTTTCGTAATGTCCAGGAGTAAGATCTATCCAACTCTTCGTGAAATAAATCTCCATTTAAATGAGACGGAAAAATATGCGACCCACAGATGTTATTACTTAAAATACGTTAAAATACATTTACCCTAAACTATTTGTTGTGAAAAATAACAGCTTTTGCTCTTTTAAGAATTAGACTGTTCATMAAATGTGTAAACAYTGTGGGTTCTATAGAATCGAAAATCCACCTACTAAAATGAAGGCGTTTTTCAGCATCTGCTGGCAGCAAACTTTGYACGASTTGTAAAACATAAACTCTCAGATGATTGTCTTTAAGTAAGCCMTCAGTGTTTTTCTGCAGATGTCTGTGTAGATRTTYGATTGAAATTCCTTTTTTAGTTTTGAGTCAAAATTATACAGTGTGGCACACAAAAYACACTTCTAAKAATGCTGRCTGGTTCAAACTTAAGGCAGATGGTGAGGCCAGTAGTAGTGTTTGCGTTCTGAATTTCACTTAAATTSGAYAATTGGTTKAAAACKTTTATCAGGAAAAACCTRAAAAAATCTAATTTCAACGGCTTTAATCTCCGAATCAATTCGATTTRGGAAACAGTTTTAAATTATGTATAAYATTATTCTGAAKATCTCWRAASTTCATAACTCTACACTTATAKAATGAAAYGATCCGAATGKTTTTTSGGGTTGWCARTATTCATYTTAAAARTGAAGGATCCCAAGCACAAATATGATTTTCATTTATTATTTGTCAACTGAATGCTGGGAGAATTTTATTGAGAATGTTTTTGTATGCCTAATTAAATATCAAAAGCAAGAATAAATGGGATGTCAGGAAGCAAACATTGATATGTGGGAAGAAATTTCGAGCTTTGTTAATTTCAGGCACTCCCAGAACGGGTTTCGCGCCTATTATTTCTCATCCGTTGATCAGCTCCTGACATATTACCATCCAATCGGATCAATCAATTTTTAGAATCAAATTTTGAAAAATGAATTAAATTAATGCCAAAAAATGTTAACTAAAATATGCAATATCTGTACGAAAGGAAACGTATATAAGTATATATTTTAAATGCCGTATGATATATCCAAAGCTTTCAAGGGATGTTTTAAGATCGATTTAATTCACTACATTAAATCGTAAATGGAGTATTTAATACAAAAAGGACTGAATCGGAAAAACGTGAGTTGGGACTAAACTAATACACTTCTGAGCCATTAAACTCACCCAAATAGATTTTATCTAATAAGGGGAAAGAATTTATACGTACGAGTTTTTCAACGCTGAGAGGATATTGCCATTTTATAGCATGAGACTCCAGATGCTAAGCCTTAAAGAAATTAAATTTAAACTTGCACCACTTTTCCTATACCCGAAGCAGAGCTGCAAAAAAAACTGATGAACAGCTGCTCTAAGACACTGAAAAGTGGTTCAAGCAGTCTCTAAAGCAATTTAACAGAGTCGTTTGGATTTAGTCGCTTTAAAATTATTATTTTTACACTACAGTTTTCAGTTTTAAAACATTTTAGATCATAGCTTTTCTAATTGAATGAATACTGACTTACCTGTAAAATTTTAAGAATTAGTGTTGTATTTTGAAAATCGTACTCCAGTGAAAAGTGAATTTGACCCACGTTTTCTGATGGCTCCGAATTGTCAATGTACATATCCACTAATGATATTGAACGGCTCTGAAGAAAGGCCATCTGAAAAATAAAATTAAACACAGTTATTTACAATATTGTTCAAGTACCATAAAGGCATAATATGTGTAGAACATAGATAAGCAACCATTCCGTTTTTTGCTATATCCCAATATACATTTTTATTATTCTGGCGCGGAACGTACACAATCGCCAAAAAACGTGAACAACAAAGTTGGGAAAGCTCGATCCTAAGTGCTTTTGTTTTTTGTTGGGATACTTTTAGATGTAGCGAAAAGTATTGAAATTGGATGAGAGTCCCACTTTTTCAAGGGTTGTTGTTTAAGCTTATGTATATATTTACATAGTGTTACTCAACACTCTGCATCACATGAGCTTTAAGGCAGACCCATTTTTTCAATAAAAACAGTAAAATATTTACTTTTACTGTAAAAATGAAAGCTGTCTTAGATAACTGCCTGGGATGTATTATTTACTTGTTCAGATTTATTACTAGTTAGATTATTGAAAATGGCAAATATTTCAGTTAATTCCGCTGAATATACAAAATTATTATCATCCAACTGTTTCCAGCAGTAAATTCGTTGGTGAGTGTATCATAATAAATATTTCATAAAATCTAACCTAATGTATATAATTACTTGCTCATTTATTATTGTGATAACTGTTCAAATTATTAATTTAGTTATTCCAGAGGTAAAATACAAAACAATAGATGTGAAGAGTTAATCGAAACGATCCCTCGAGATCAAAATCGATTTATAAGTCCCAATATGAGCACTAAAATTTTCACATACAAAACATAGAAGATATTAGAAAATAAAGTACAACTGCATGATTTACTGAAAACTGTGGAGTGTGAAGCATAAACGTTTTTGTGGACCGAGGCATTAGTTCTTGGGCTATGATAAATAATTTATTGCTTTTTTGCAGCTTAAAATTCGCCAATGTTAAGAAGGCGGTTAAACATATAATTATATTTAAAAACATTATTAAACATTTTAGATCATCCTTTATATTCCGGCTAGAAGAGACAGAAATTCATTTATTAACTGGCAGTCAAAATTTGCTCAAAATATTTAGAAAAAACCGACTTTTTAATGCAATAAAATGGAAATAACAATAATAGATAGTATAGATTTGTCATTACGCAAGAGTCCTGAAGTTGATTTTAGACAATAATAAAGAAAAATTAGAGCCAATGATTCAACAACGAAAAACAACGAACAAGTACTTATTTGTAATTAAAAGAATTTAATCTAAAAAAATAAGAAAAATAATCAAAATAAAGTTTCTTGAAAATCAACATTATTTTCAAATTTCAAATTCAATTTTATCAAATATTCGGTAGTCTTAAAATGTTGAACTAATAAATTGGAAAATATTGTATGTTTCTGATACAAATTTGAATTTAAATAGATTTATTTCACTTTAATATTGTGGACTAAAGTAACGCAAATCTTGGAATTCTCTTTACGCGCTGGAACCTAAGTACTGATTTTCACATTCCTTAATAACTTCCATTGCCTACATCATAGTTATCAATTAAATTTAAAAACTAATTTAAAACTTTATTTTGAACTAAAAACTGTTTAGTTTAGGAAAACAACTGACTTCCGATTTTCTCTGGAGGACAAGTTTATAATAAAGAATTATTTTCGTCATACATATCTGTGACCGATTCAGTACAATGAAATTACGTTATCCATCATCCAATGTTATAATTATGATTGGAAGAGGATTTTTTTAAAAATCATGAATGTAAATTTTCAACCCACCGTAAAAGTGTTGATAATAATGTTATTTTACGAGTGGAAATGAAGGTAGCTTCATTATCATTATCAAAAAAATAAAGAGAATTAAATTTGCTTAATATTTTGAAAGTGTATTAATTGGTTTGCTGTCACCACAGAAAAGGAAAGGTAATGCGGATTTCCCATTACGCTAACCAATAAGTTTTCTTGTCGAATACATTGTAGTAATTTGGCCTGTTGCTAAACAAAAAAGTTCACATTATATGTGTGCGCATTAAAGTATCTATGCTTTCTGTTCGAATAATTTCCAACAAAAATGTCTTTTTGGTCGATATGATATAATTTATAAGGAAAATTACTTAAAAGTACTTAATTAAATAAAATTACTACTGCGTTCCTCTAATGTAATGCGGCCGCATACATTTATTTCATAGTTTTCAAACGTTTTTTTTTTTCAAATTTTTTAATTGGTTTTTTCCTTTCAATTTCTTTAATTAGCCAGTTAGTTCGGAATATTTCTTTTTAACCTGGGATCGTGAGACATGAGTATGTAAATGCCCGGCAAATTTGAAATGGACGCGGGTCGAAAGAGCATTACTGCTTACTACTTACGAGATAAATAGAGATTTACGAGATAAAAAATAAACTTATGGTTTTTTAAATGGTAATCATAGTTGGCTGCGGGCCTTTTAAAATCCTTATTTTTTTCTGAATTTAACGATATAATTGCTCGTATGTTTTTGTCCTTTTGTTCCCGTTAAACTTCAAAAAAATATAAAAAATGTGTAGTAGGCTATGGAAACAAGAATTACATTATCACACAAAGCACAAAACAATAATGAATCGTTTAAATTAAATGTTCAAATTGACTTCCGTTTACGTTTAGGCATTTTTTGGCATCTTCACATTCAACTTGTGAGTTGTGTGAAGGTGCACTATCATGTTGAAAATATGCCAATTTTCGATACGATGCTAATGGAAAACTTTGTCTTCATGTTCATTTGGTAAAAAGTGTAAATATCTTTCAATATTTAAATTGTGATTATAAAAGAATAGACCAATCATTTTATCACTAAAAATGCCTCACTAGACATTCACAAAAAAAAATATGTTGATCTCGCCTATTTTCAATTAGATGATGATTTTCATTAGCCCAGTAAACATGATTGTGTCTGTTAATTATTTCATTTTTGTTTTGTGTTTGGTGTGATAATATAGTTCTTGTTTCCATAGCCTACTACACATTTTTTATCTTCTTTTGAAGTTTTACGGCAACAAAAGGAGAAAAACATACAAACAGTTATATCGTTAAATTCAGAAAAAAATAAGAATTTTAAAAGGCCCACAGCCAACTATGATTACCATTTAAAAAACCATAAGTTTATTTTTTATTTCGTAAATCAAGTTGACTATGATAAAGAGTGCTAGTTTATTAAATTCAACGCAAAAAGTTCTACCGAAGACAATTTTAACTTTTTTTCTAATTTAAGCAGTTTACGAATTATATGATCATTAAAAAAGTGTTGATTTCTTGCATTTTCAGGATATATCAGGAACCAAGTCGGGTACCTACATTTTGAAAACGGTAATGAATAGGCAATCTAATTCTGCCCAGTTTTGCCCAGTTAACGGATTCTCTATCTTTAAAAATGTAGAAGTTACCCATACAAAGATTCAGAAAATGGCCACCCTGTATAGTTACTTTGAGGGTTTCTTTCTAAATTTGCGACATATAAGACGTGAAATCAAAAAAACTGTTAAATAATTGGGACTTAATTACTTAATAAACAATTAATTAACAATGTTCCAATATCCCGACTTTCATTCGTTAGACTTTTGAATTTGGGATTCTTCAAAACGTTTAGTTTACGACTAAATAGTCGGCACAAGAAATGCGTCCATTGAGCTGCTTTAAGTATTTAAAAGTTGAAAGTCACTATTTACCTTAAAGTAGCCAGCTCCGAGCAAAGTACAATTATACCCAAAATACGAAAAGGGTTTCGAGCCCTGCATTTCAACGATCGTCAACTTTTCGTGGACTGAAAGCTAAAACTGAAGTCTAAAATATCTGTTTTCGGTAAATGCACTTTTAAACCGAGCTAAAAATTATATTAGAATCCTTTTGGAAAATTGGTTATTAAAAACAGATTTCGGTGCACCTGTTTGTGTCCTTGGGAGACTTTATCAGCTTTTGAAGGCAAATATATTACTTTGTTAAACTACTTGGTCAACAAACAGAAATACGTCAATTTTCCACTTGGTAACTTTTGGCTTGTTTTAACGTAATTTTAGTCAATCATAGTTTCATGCCAGAAATCCACAATTTTTAATCATCATTACTTTAGGAATGTTTGACATATTATTTATTTAAAATTAGGCCTTCGTTTTTGGTAAATTAACCTACCGGAAAACATTAACTTCATCTTTTCATTAACTACAAATTATGTAAGTTTTAGAGCCGCAGTCGCCTTTATAGCTGATGAAGCGCACTTTTTTGACTGTGATTTGTTGCTTTTAGTTTAAGTATAAGTGAACATTTTAAAGTAGCAAAAGTGATTATAGTCATAAATCCTTACGTAACGATACGAACTTCCTAGACACAAAATCACAATAAATATTGTTGCTATTAAAAACAATTTAATTCAAAAGAAATTCCTGGGTTCCAGTCAATTTTATTGTTTATGTTTTTGTAATATTTTAAATGGTAAACAATAAAATTAAGTGGAACCCAGGAATTTCTTTTGAATTAAGTTGAAACACAGTCAGGAAAATATATACAATAAGAGCAATGACAAAAATCATTTTAAACTTTTTTTCTACAGAACACGCTGCAAAAGAAATAACGTAAAATTTATTGGACACCTGCACGTAAAACACTCTACATTTTAGGCTCATACAGGAATTACAGATTGACTAAAATCAATGTAAGGCAATGCGTTGACTTTCCCTGAGAAAATGTATCATAAGATACATATTTTGGTTGAAATTAAGCTGGTTTCTTCTTCTTGAGAAAACTACAGTTATTATATTTAAGAACTTTGATTTGTTAAAAGAAACAACAAATTTGGGCAGCACTAAACATCAGCAGTGTAATGTGGTGTAACCTATGGTCCTGTGCAATTCTGAAACCAAATCATAGCGCATCAGAAAACGTAAGCTGTACTAAGGGACTTAAATGTTTCTGACCCATTACGCGATTGTGAAATATGTTTGGAAACCCTTGTAATATAAAGCGGAGTTGATGACAAAATACTAAATATAAAAATCATATTCAATGACAAAAAATGAAAA